GGGGGGACCTGGACGAAGGACTAAGTGGGGATATTGGAGGCACCAAGGACCAAGGGGGGACACTGGGGACACCAAGGACCAAGGGGGGACACCGGGGCCACCGGGGGCCACCGTGGTCACCCGCCGCGTCCCCCCGCAGTGACGCCGCCCCGGCACCTCATCTGCGCCAACGTGGAGATCGTCCCGCAGCCCTTCTGCCGCCAGGCCTACCCGGGCCGCGTCACGGACAACATGTTCTGCGCCGGCGTCCCGGACCGGCGCGTCGACTCCTGCCAGGTGGGGACCCCCCGCGGTCCCCAGAGCCACCGCGTGTCCCCAGAGCCACCGCGTGTCCCCAAACCCAGCGCGTGTCCCCAAAACCCCCGCGGTCCCCAAACCCAGCGCGTGTCCCCTCCCCCCAATGGGACCCGACTCAAGGCTGAAGAACCTCCCTGGTTATTGGCCCTTCTTGGGGCAGAAGGTGCCCAGAGGGTCCTCAAGGCCTGGGGACCTCCCCTCCCCACGTTATGTCCCCCTTGGCCCCCAGGAACCCCCCAAAAAGCAGGACAACCTCCCCAAAAAGCCACCAGCCCAGGGCCACCTCCAAGGTCCCCACGGCCACCGTGGTGGCTCCTCGTCCCCCCGTGTCCTGCAGCCCCCAAGGACCTTCTGCTCATGGCCCCAAGTGGGGACCTTCTCCCCGCTCCGGGCCACCCCCTTGGGGACATCCCGGAGCCCCCAAACCCCTGGAGACGCCCCCGGGGACCCCCCCCGAGATGTTTCTCCACCCGCCAACCTTGGGGACGCCCCCCCGGGACGTCCCCCCGCGTGACGCCCGTGTCCCCTCCGCAGGGTGACTCTGGGGGTCCCCTGTCCTGCAACGGGACCCTGCAGGGCCTGGTGTCCTGGGGGCTCCAGACCTGTGCCCTGCCCGGCCGGCCCGGCGTCTACACGCGGGTCTGCAACTACGTGCGCTGGATCGTGGGCACCATGGAGGGTGCCCAGGGGACACGGGGACATCGAGGGACCCCCCGCCGGGACGGGGCCGCCCGGCCCGGCCCCACACGGGGACACGAGGGGACGTGGGGCGGCTCGAGGCCACCGAGGGGACCCCGTGGGAGGGGAGGGGGGACAATAAAGCGGGAGCAACGAAACGGCGTCGAGGCCATGGCTGCGCCCCCACCCATGGGGACGCCCTGGGGACACCGGGAACCCCCTGGGGACACTGGGACCCTCCTTGGGGATACCAGAAACCCACTGGGGACACCAGGACACTCCATGGGGACACCAGGACACTCCATGGGGACACCGGGACACTCCATGGGGACACCGGGACCCTCCATGGGGACACCAGGACATTCCATGGGGACACCGGGAACCCCCTGGGGACACCGGGACCCTCC